GCGGCCTGCGGGCGGGCTGTGAGCGAGGGCGCGCCCCAGCACCCGACCCTGAGCAAGGCTCTCGAGTCGGGAGCCGGCCTCGAGCGAGAACGCGGCGGCGAGGAAAACAACTCTGAAGTTGGCGAGGGCACCGCCCCTGCTCCGGGGCCGCCGCCTCCCTGCCCCCAGCCCTGGCACCCAGAGCACCGGTCGAGGCGCCCAGGCCATGGGGCCCCCTCGGGGAGGCAGCACCGGGGGGTGGCCTGGACGCCGTCGCCCCACCGGGTAGACGACAGAACTTCCGGGACGCTGCCTGCCCCTCTGGACGGCCCAGGATGCTGCCCACCACGTTCCTGCTCTTCCTCCTGGGTAAGAAACCGAAAGGAGACCGCCCACCCGGTCCAACCCCTCTCCCCCCTCCCGGGGCTGTCACTGGACCCGGGGCTCCAGTTCCCTCCCTCTGCGGAACCCTTTACCCCACCCTACCTGACACCTAGCACTGCGGGGCCCCAACCTCCAGGAAGTCCCCAGCCTCACCATTGAGCCCTCGTCCTCTCTCCTGCATCCTGGACCCCACATCCACCCCCACTGGCCCTGCAGCTGGCCCTTCCGTTCCTGTCAGACTCTACAGCCTCTTCCAGCCACACCACTCCCACTCCTAAGCTGCTCCCCCTCCGTCCCCCACCCACCCCGGAAGTCCCAGATGGCTTCCTTCCTTCCTGAGCGACTCAGGTACAGAACATTCCTAAGGGTGACTCACGGTCCTGCCCTCTCTCCCTCCTCCTCTAGGGGGCGCGCTGGCGCATCCAGACCGGATGGTTTTCCCAAATCCAGGTGAGTGAAGGGGGAGCCCTTTGGGCGCCCCCCACGGGCTTGGCAATGGCGAGGACCTAGGCCCTAAGAGAAGGTCTCTCTCCTTTCCAAATTCCACTGGTGCCCACCCCGGTTTGAAGTAGAGCTCACCCATCCTTATTTTACAGGTGGGGAAACCGAGGCAGGGTGTGGGCCCTCACCTGGTCTTTGCTATGTACTACACTATTTTCCAACTGTCCACGTATGAGCTTCTTTACTAGAATGTAGTCCTTCTCAGGTTACAGACGACAGTCGCAGCTCCTAACCCAGTGGCCGGCACAGGATTGTATGAGGGGTTTAGTAGTATTCAGATGAAGCCCTATGACCGTGTGAAGGAAGGGGCACCTAAGGTATGAGGGGGTGGAGAGAGAGGGAGTTCCCCCTCCCTTTGTACAGAGTCAAGGCCTTTCAGGACCTCTTGCCTGGGGAGAGGTGGGATGCCCATGACTTCATGACTGGTGTCCGACTTTCCGCTCTGCAGCCTGTGAGGAGCCTCCAGCGGTGCTGTTGGGAGTGCAGGGCACCTTACAGAGGCCTCTGGGCCGGGACAGCCGCAGCTCCCCTGCCAACTGCACCTGGCTCATCTTGGGCAGTAAGGAGCAGACTGTAACCCTCAGGTGAGAAGCTAGGCACGGCCCAGTTCCTACTCCCAACCCCCTGCCCCAACCTCTCCAGAGATCATACCTCCATGGAATTTTCATCCCTTTTCCAGCAGAAAATAAGAATTCTATTTGACCTAGGCTTCCCTGAGAACCTGGCTTGTTCTGGTGAATTGGGCTTGGGCCGGGGCAGCCCTAGGACATCAAGCTTGAGCCTTACCAATTCTCTAGAGTCAGTCTGGGGTTGGATAGGATTGATCTGAGGTTGTTCTTTTTTTATCTGTTGCCCATCAGGACCTTGCTTGACCACCTCAGGTCTTTCTAACATTTCCCATGGTCCTCTGAATACGGGCTTTAGGCCTGAGTTACTATCTGGGTATTTGCCTCACACAGCTCACTCCCCATGCAAGGGCAGTCTTAAGGACAGGCTGTTGGGCAGAGGGATCGGAATATCAGGGCCATTTCCGGAGGTGGTGAGGCCTTTCCTTTGAACTAAGAAGCCCTGCTGGCGTAACGGGTTGCACTCTGGGCTGCTGCAAGATCAGCAGTTTGAACTCACCAGCCACTTTTTGGGAGAACGTTGCAGTCTGCTTCCATAAAGATTGACAGCCTCAGAAAGCCTCCTCGGTTCTACAGGGTGGCTATGAGTCAGAATCGATGCGATGGCAGTGAGTGGGTGGGCCCATGGGACTAACTGCATGGTCATTGCCAGCTGCGCTGGTGCCATACTGGGGTGACAGTGTCCCGACAACTAGAAAGCAGTATATCTGCTCTAGCTCAGATCCTGGTTTCTTGAGTGGTTCTGGGGTGTGCCTCACGGCTCTGTGCCCTCACTGGCCTCTGTGAGAACTGTCTCTGCTAGCTACACAGGCATTCCAGTTGACTGAGTTTCCATTTGCCTATTCCATTTCTGAAGAAGCTTCCTGGATTGAAGGGAACCCCCACCCACCCAGTCCAGAACAGCTTGCCCTTGTTCTCCCCCGGGTAGGTTCCAGAAGCTGCACCTGGCCTGTGGCTCCGAGCGACTCCTCTTGCACTCCCCGCTCCAGCCCCTCATCTCCCTATGTCAGGCACCAGCCAGCCCCCTGCAGCTGCCCGGAGGCAACGTCACCATCACCTACATCTATGTCGGGGGCAGAGCACCCATGGGCCAGGGCTTCCTGCTCTCCTACAGCCAAGGTAGGTGGCACAGTGAGTGGCATCCCCGAGGGCACTCCAGGGCGGAGGGGAGAATCTTGCCAGTTCCCAAAGCTTGACAGCCCCCCTCCCCACAGACTGGCTGATGTGCCTGCAGGAAGAGTTTCAGTGTCTGAACCACCGCTGTGTGCCCTGGGCCCAGCACTGCGACGGCATCGACGACTGTGCCGATGGCTCTGATGAGGCAGGATGCAGCTCAGACCCCTTCCTCGGCCCGACGCCGGCCCCCCGCCCCGCCCCACCCTGCAACCGCACCTTGGAGACCTTCTATGGGGTCTTCTCCTCCCCCGGTTACTCACACCCGGCCGCAGGTTCCCACCCTCAGTCCTGCCTCTGGCTGCTGGACCCTCACGATGGCCGGCGACTGGCTGTGCGCTTCACGGCCCTGGACCTGGGCTACGGGGACGCAGTGCACGTGTATGATGGCGCTGGGCCCCCGGCAACTCCCCGCCTGCTGCGCAGCCTCACCTACTTCAGCAATGGCAAGGCCGTCACCGTAGAGACGCTTTCTGGCCAGGCTGTCGTGGCCTACCACACACTGGCCTGGAGCAGCGGCCGGGGCTTCAACGCCACCTACCACGTGCGGGGCTACTGCCTGCCTTGGGACAGACCTTGTGGCTCAGGCTCCAGCCTGGGGGCCGGCGAAGGCCCCGGTGAGCGCTGCTACAGCGAAGCACAGCGCTGCGACGGCTCCTGGGACTGTGCTGATGGCACAGACGAGGAAGACTGCCCCGGCTGCCCGCCTGGACACTTCCCCTGCGGGGCCGCCGGCACACCCGGGGCCACCGCCTGCTACCTGCCCGCCGACCGCTGCAACTACCAGACCTTCTGTGCCGACGGGGCCGACGAGAAGCGCTGTCGCCAATGCCAGCCCGGCAACTTCCGGTGTCGAGACGAGAAGTGCGTGTACGAAACGTGGGTGTGCGACGGGCAGCCGGACTGTGCCGACGGCAGCGACGAGTGGGCCTGCGCCTACACGCTGCCCCGCAAAGTCATCACGGCCGCAGTCATTGGCAGCCTGGTGTGCGGCCTGCTGCTGGTCATTGCCCTGGGTTGTACCTGCAAGCTCTACGCCATCCGCACCCAGGAGTACAGGTCAGTGGCAAAGTCGAGGAGCGGCACTGGGGCTGAGACAGGACCCGGAGGGGTCAGCTTGTGTGTGGGGTCCCAGAGTTGCCTACCCTAGGGACAGGTGAGCTCAGGTGAGGAGAGAACAGGTCTAGATCCTGAAAGCCATCTTAGGAAGGTGCGGAGGTGGGGGGTGCCTCATCCCTGCTGGTCTGTCTTGAGTTTGGTGGGCAGAGGCCTGGCCAAGCTGTGGGGCCTGAGAATCACCAGTGACTGGGCCACCCTCGCTCCTTCCAGCGTCTTCGCTCCACTCTCCCGGATGGAAGCCGAGATTGTGCAGCAACAGGCCCCGCCCTCCTATGGGCAGCTCATTGCCCAGGGAGCCATCCCCCCTGTGGAGGACTTCCCGACAGAGAACCCCAATGATGTAAGTCGCCCACCTTCCAAACCCTCCTTCATCTGGTCTCCCTTGGGGCTCTGGCCTCCCTCCCTCCCTCCCACTTGAACTTCTCCCCCTCTGCTTGCAGAGCTCCGTGCTGGGCAGCCTGCGTTCTCTGCTGCAGATCCTGCGCCAGGATATGACGCCTGGAGGGGCCCTGGGCACCCGCCGCCGTCAGCGGGGTCGCTCTGTGCGCCGCCTGGTCCGCCGCCTCCGCCGCTGGGGCCTGCTCCCCCGAACTAACCCCACAGCCCGGACCCCGGAGACCAGATCCCAGGCCACACCGTCTACTTCTCCCCTTGAGACCCTAGATGGCAGCACAGGGCCAGCCCGTGAGGGCGGGGCAGTGGGCGGGCAGGATGGGGAGCAGGCACCCCCGCTGCCCACCAAGGCCCCCCTCCCTTCTGCTAGCACATCCTCGGCCCTCCCTGAGGCCCCAGGGCCGCTGCCCTCAGCCGCCCTGCAGCCATCCCTGCTGTCCGAGATGGTGCAGGTCCTGCGGGGTCGCCTCCTGCCAAGCCTGCATCCCCCAGGACCAACCCGGACCCCGCATGGGCCCCACACAGCCCTGCCCCCAAGGGATGAAGACGATGTCCTCCTCCTGCCCCTGGCAGAGCCAGAGGTCTGGGTGGTCGAGGCAGAAGATGAGCCACTGCTTGCCTGAGGGGCCCGGCTTCCCAGAGGGCTCTGGTTCAGGTGGCAACAATAGTTTCCCCTCCACACCATGGCTCCCTCTCCCACAGTCCGAGGGGACTAGGCCTCTCTATGCCTGCGTGTCACTGCTGTAAAATCACATGTCCTCTGGCAGGAAAGGGCTTCCCCAGAGCTCCCCCCCCCCCCCACCATCCCGACCTGCACACAGCCAGAAACCCTAGCTCCTCCTCTACCACCACCACCCTTACCCCACTCCACTGCCATTTGCCTGGTGATGTTTTAAAAGTTTAGTTTTCCAAGGGGTCAGAGGCCTGGAAATGCCATCCTTGCCAAAGCCCCACCCCAAAGTGACCTTATGCACCAAGATGCCAATCGTCTGGAAAAGTTCCAGCCCCCGAAGGAGGATTGGGGCAGGGCCTGCGGTCTTGTCCACTGTCACCCTTCCACCAGGGTCTGGCTCAGAGAAAGCTCAGCAAAACGTACTTGTCCCATAGCTGAGTCATTCCCAGGAAGCCAAGGTGAATAAATAAAGGAATCCTAAATTTGAAAGTTCTGGAAATGAGCTGTGAGCCAAAAACCCTGCCACTGTGCCCACCTCGGTCTATACTTCTGGCCTCCCCTCTCATCTAGCTTCCAACCCCCACAGCCTTGATTCTCCCATGTCGCCGAGGGTGAGACTGTAAGTACCCCGGGCCTCTTTACTTCTGCTCACTGCCCAGGGTCCACTAAGACTGAGCCCCAAATCCCTTGACTCACTGCTAAGGGGGAAGCCTGGGGAGCCAGCTGGTCCCTGCAGCCACGCAGGTCCCCCAGTTGGAGTACTCCCAGAGCACAAGTCCCAGGAGCAGGCTGTCCCCGGGGGAACACATGAGCCATGTCTCCTGCCCTCCACCAACCGTTCCAGTCAAGGCCTGTGTGAACTGTCAGCCAGAAGGTCCTGAGTAGGCAAAAACAGCAAGGAAAGTCCCAAGTATTCCAGGTGGGGCGATGGATGTGGTTATCTTGGCCAAACTTGAGAGGTCTCCCTAGAAAAAGGGTCAAGCTGGATTCTAAAGAATGCTGTCAGCATTGCCCTAGAGCCATGAATTCTAGGCGGGCCCAATCCACAGGACACGGAAATTTAGGGAACGTCAGAGCCAAGGCCTAAGTTAGGCTGGCCCCTGGATCTCAGAAAGGGAGGCTGGCTGAAGGGCAGAGTAGCCAGCGCTGAGGAGGGTGGTGGAGAGAGATCACCAGAAATGTTAGCAATCAGCTTCTGGTGGTCAAGGTGACAGAAGCTGCCGCAGAGTTTGAAAGGACGGAGCAAAGAATAGGTTAGAAGGCCTTGAGAGGAGGATTGACACCCCAGTGGAGAGACAGAGCTTCCCTTCCAGGAGAGAACCAGTCCCCAGGGGAACAGGCTCCTCCCCCTCCTGCTTGCTTCAACCCACCAGCCCCTTTGGGTAGGCACCTTTTTCACTCCTTGTGAGCAGCCACCTCACTGGGCAGGAATTGGCCATGTGTTTCCTAGTGAGCCAGAGCCTGGGCAAGTGCCCAAGCTGGGTATGGATCCCTGCGTAGGCCTGGGGCGGTGGCATCAGGGAAGACTGTACTCTTCCACCCCGGCCCTCTTCAGAGGTTGGCGACGGGCCTCCAGGGACCGAGATTCCTAACTGGTCTCTCTGTGGGCCCTTCCCAGGGCAAAAACCTCTGGGTCTAAACAGTGTCAGGCCTAAGCAAAACTGTGAAGCAGGGAATCCCTAGCTTGCACCTTCCACCATAACAAAGCCAAACCCCTGGCCATCAGTCTGAGTCTGACCCATTAGGGCCCTTTATAGGAGCATATCTAATGCAAAAAAACAAAACCTCAAATTTTCCGCCATTAAGTTAATTCTGACGCATCGTGACCTTAAAGGACAGAATGGAACTGTCCCTTTGGGTTTCTAAGGCTAAATATCTACGAGAATAGAAAGCCTCATCTTTCTGGGGAGTGACTGGTGGTTTTGAATTGCTGACCTTGTGGTCGGCAGTCCAACAAGTAAGCCAGTACAATACCAGGACTCCCAGCAGGGAGCAGACAGCCTCCTCTTCCTCCCACCGAGCAGCTGGTGATGCTCAAACCAAGGAAGTCAGCAGTCCAACACTTACCCACAGAGCCAGCTCAGGAAAGCCCTCCACCTGATGCCGGATTCCTTGTCCTTCAGACCTTTCCCTAGGGATATTGACCGCTGCCAAATGAAGAGTGATTTAAGGTAGAAGGATTCTCCGAGAATGGAGTGCTTCACCGTGCGAGAGAGAGGCCTGTAGAGTTTACTGGAAAGGCCTATACCTGTAGATTAGGGGTCCTGAGACTCCAGGAGTGTGCTCTACGAGGGAGGGAGGTGCAATCAATAACACTGCTTGTGTCAGACCCCAGGGAGAGGGGGTTGGCCTTGTCCAGACAAGGTCCTGCCCAGATGAGGCTGGGTTACTCTAACAGGGGAGCAGTCACTCAAGCTCAGTGCCAAGGCACGAAGAAAAAATGAAAACACTTCAATTCCCAGTCGGATAGATGGCATTGCAAGGTGCCCAGACTCTTCATGGGTGTGGAGACCAGCATGAAGGCTTTTGGTGTGTGGGTGGGAGGAGGGAGGGCAGTCAGGGAGAAAGGCAGATGATCTCAGCATGAGATGAGGATCAGGCTGTGAATGAGGAAGTCAAGATAATGGAAGCTACCTCAGTTCAAGGGGGGGGTGGGGGGGTGGCCTGAACCAAGCTCTAGTTCTTAGTAGGAGAAGAGAAGGACCTTGGACCACGCAGTTTTACTCTCTGAAAACACAAAGGAAGTTATTAAGTGAGTGGGCCCCTGCGAAGTGCCGAAGACTCTAACCTGTGCAGTTAACTCATGGCCCATTAACCCCATTTCACAGGTAGGTTCGGGTGCAGCTTTGGCGAAATTATGAGATTGGCCTGGTCTCCACTGATTTAGACCTGACTGGTCCTGTTCCCAAACTCACCCTCAACCAGACATGGGTGAGAAGACAGCGGAAGCCCATTTCCACTCATAGGCTACCTGTGGGACCAGGCAGCTTGCTTGAGGGGTGGTCAAAGGGCCTGATCCAGTCTCCCCAGGCAGAAGCCCTGACTGGCAATTAGTGTTGGGGCCTGTGGTCCCTGGCTCACTTTCATCTGGTATCAAATGAATACAGCCACTTGAGTTTCCTAGAGACATAAAGTTTACACTGGTAACAATGGAAAACTTTTTAAAAAGCATTTCTGAAGGAAATCACTTTAGAATGTTATATTCCTCTTCAGTGGGTTTATATATATACTTTTTTGTGTATGATAGCGGATGGTCCTTCGAAGAAAGCATTGCTTTCTCTGCAACAATGTCTTCAGATGCCATAGCTGCCACGGTGAACTGTTGGCCGGGATGCTAAATGACCTCAGATCACATTTAAGATGCTTATGACCACTTTCACTCTCGGATTCATCGCATTGCCTCCCTTGTTACCAGATGACCAGGTAGTCTGCTGCTCTAAATGGGTTGCTGATCTACCAGTACAGAAACACACACACACACACACACACACTAAAATCAACTAAAGACACAAAGGTCATGACTGACGACTGGTCTACCCAAGATGAATCAAGAACAAGCGTGTCTGCAGTAGTTCAGCTGCTTATGAGCCCTTTCTGCTGCTTGCTGACCAGACGCTGCTCCTATGTGGCTGGTCTTGCTAAGGTTACTTCCATTGGAAGATTCCCCTGGGAATTGCGATATGGATTGCTTCCAATAATAGAAGGCCATTGGAATATCTGAGACAAGGAGGCAGCACAGAGTAGGATAAAAAGCACACTCTGGCATTGGAAAGGTTTGTATGGGAGGCCTGATGGCCCCATTTCCAGCTGCATGATTGATTTGGGGACAAGCCATCTATCTACCACTCTGAGCCTCCCAGTGACAAAGCTGAAAGGAGATGATGCAGAAAGATGCTGTTATCTGGGTGAAGGGAGGTTGGAGTGGGAACCAGAAGCAAAAGTTAACTAGCCAGGGACAGTGCAGTAAAATGCACCCTTCCACCTGCCCACACAGCTAGACAAAGCCCTGGGAGGGAGGCTGCCCACACCACACAGCCACACACAGAATGCGATCAGGATCAGGACGTTTGAGAGGGAGAGTGGGATGACCCACCCCACACCCATCTGATTAACTCTGGGTTGGTAGTCTGAGAGAGATGGGGGAGGAGTTAACATCCACTAGAGACTAATGGTAAAATGAAGCTGCCCAAACAAAGCGTTCCCACCTGCCTGGGAATCCCCATCTCTATCTAGGGGCCAGGCTCTGAAATGGATAGTCTTGTGGGTCTTAGCCCTGAAAGAGGGGTGGGGGGAAGCTTCCTGATCGGGGCTATTCCCTACCTCTGTCTCTCTCTAGGCCTATTTTTACTTGTCCTTCAGATCAGCTTTTCGCCTTCTACCCCTCCGTTCAGCCACGCCGGGCTGCACTCGGGGCTGGGGCTGGGGCTGGCCACAGAGAGACGAATGGCACGCAGTCCGCACTCGTCTTGGGAAAGAAAGACCTGGTGCCAGCCTGGACTCCTGACGTCTGGGCTCCTCAATCCACTGAACCCCTGCCCGCTCCGCACCTCCGACTGGGTTCTGCGCACATCTTCACGGGGTCTGCAGTGTGTGGTGTGTGTGTGTGTGTATGTATATACACACCCCGAGGGACTAGACACAAAGGAAAGGGAACGGGGTGGTAGAAAGGAGGGAATCCCGCTGACATCACTGCTCATTAGCATGTGTGACCTCATCAGAGGGCGGTACAATTTCCCCAGGTGTCGGGGAGGGGGGGGGCGCACGGGTGGGGGGGTGGTATTTAAAGGGAAAAGCTGACAGAGCTGCAGAGGGAGGGAGGGAGCGGGTGCTGCAAACCACCAGGCTGCACACGCACGCCGATGCAAACGGACCCCGACATGGACACGGACACAGAAACCGCGGCGCTCTGCCCCCCCGACAGCGGCCGGGGCTCCCCTCCAGGGACGCCCACCCCAGGTGAGGCTTGGCCAGGGTGTGGGTTCCGGCTGAAGCGTTCGGGTTGGGAGCTGAAGCGCTGGTGGGGAGGTCAGAGGTAGGGACTGGAGGGTAGGAGCAACTCCGGAAGTGGAGAAGCCCCCTCTCTCTCGGGGATCAGGGCTCGGCTAGGAGGGGCCGGGAGCTGCCTCTATGTCCCCTTCCCCATTGTGCCCAGGGCTTTGCGGTGGTGGTGGAGGGGGTGAATTGATGCATATCCCCTAGGTCAGTCTCACTCCCAAGAGGCTGGGGAGGGCAGGGAAGGGGTTTGGGGAGGGAAAGGGCGGGCAGCCCACAGGCCTGGGAAGCACGGGCAGGGGTCTCCTCTGGGGACCAGTTTGTAAGGGTTCCTTCTGGCTCCAGGCGGCTTTGGCTGCCTGCCAGGTATTGATCCTGGGCTATTTCCAGCCTCTCCAGCCCCCTTTGTTGTGTCTGTTGTTCCTCCTCCAATTACCCTGACCCATGCATTGTCACACTTATATTCTTTCTCTCTCTCTCACACGTTCTCTGCTCAGCGAACAAGGTATTCTCTTCCACTCTAGAGACCGACACCCAGGAATATAAAAATATTCTCACACACCTGCGGGGTTGGGGGGCAGACAGGGAGGCGATGGGCAAGGGCAGCCCTTCTCACATCCACAGCCACTGAGACCCAGCATCCCAAAAAAGCACAGTCCTTTCCCTGGGAACAGGTCCCTCACAAAGTTTTTGACTCAGCAGGTAGCCACCCAAATCTTAGGCAGCAGCCCCCCTCCCCCCCCTTCTTTCTGCCCCTTTGCAGTCTGGGGACTGCCAGTATGGAGAACCTGGTGGAAGAAGAGGCAGCCTGGGACCAGAGGCCTAGCCTGGGGGGAGGGGGAGGGGTGCCTGTGTGTCAGTGTGAAGTGTGAGTGGGTGTGTGCGCTTGCGCACAGGTGCTGCTCCTGCACAGGGGGCATGTTTTGAACAGGTTTGTGACTGGGGCCACACTGGGGAAGACACCAGGTCAACTCCTCCCGGAGCCCCATCAGTTCACGTTTCTGGAGGGGCCCCATGTATCAGGTCTGGCCAGTCTCCTGCTCCTTCTGGGTTCACTGGCATGGATTGGGCCTGGTTGGGCCAGGCAGGAGGGAGCCCACTGCAGGTGGCACGGCACCCCCACTCACAGCTTCCCTCTCTCTGCTCCCCAGAAGCAGTTGCCGCACTGTTGAAGCCAGAGAAACTGCTGGCTGGGCTGGACCCCAGCACTCCAGCCCCTACCCTGGGGGCCCCCAAAAGAAGAGGCAGTATGCCTGTCCCCTACAAGCACCAGCTGCTACGGGGCCAAGCTGTAGATGAACTTGACTGGCCACCTCAGGCGTCATCTGATTCCTCTGACTCCCTGGGGTCAGGAGAGGCAGCCCCCCACCCAAATGATGGCATCTTCAAGGTCATGCTGGTCGGGGAGAGCCGTGTGGGCAAGAGCACCCTAGCAGGCACCTTCTTCGATCTCCAGGGAGACAGTGCTCATGAGCCTGAGAACCCAGGTATTTGGAGAACTCCTGCAGGGGCAGAGGGGGCCCTCTGGAGCCCTCCTCTGGGACAGAAATGCTCACAGCACGAGCAGCCTCCAGACAAGAACTTGAAAGAGGCTGCTGCAGTGCTTTGTGCAGCCACCTCTCTAGAGGAAGGTCCCTGGCCAGCAGGCTGGGAGGCCGCCCTGGTAACCAGGTTTCACAAGTGCTGGGGAGCCTTCTAACAGGCTCTCTTCCCCTCCCCTGTTCTCCCAACAGAAGACTCCTATGAGAGACGAATCATGGTGGATGAGGAGGAAGTGACTCTGGTTGTATACGACATCTGGGAACAGGTAAGAACCAAGATGTGGCTACCAGCAGACGGTGAAGCTTGAAAGAGCTGGGGAGGCCCAAGTCTGGTGTGAGGCCGATGAGAACGCAGGCCCTTGTCGCAGCTCCTACTTGGAACCTGGCCTTTCATTCCTGTCACCTGAGAGAGCAAAGGCCTGCCCCCATGTACTACTGTGGCTGCCAGAGCTGCTGGCTCTTCTGACCCAGAGGACCGCATAGGCTCCTGAACCCACAGAACCCTGAAGCTGCAAGCCAAGGCTGAGCTTCTTGAAACTGACCCCCCACCCTTAAAGGCTTCAGTCTGGAAGAGACTGACCCACGTTGCTCCCAGTAGCAGAGAAAGATGTTAATGGTTACGATGTAGAAGTGGGAGGTCAAAATTAGAGACACCCGAATAGTGTTTATGAATCGACAACTTAAAGTAGGGTGGAAAACCCTAGTGTAGTGTCCTGTGTCCCCAGTTCTCCATGGAGGGTCACATTACTAAGGCCTCCATGCTCCACAACAAGTACTCTGGGTAGAGAGCCTGCAGTTCACTCTGCTGCCCATTTACAGGAGGATACAGAGGGGTGGCTTCCGGACCAGTGTCTTCAGACTGGAGACGCCTTCCTCATCGTCTTCTCGGTCACCGATCGAAGAAGCTTCTCCAAAGTTCCGGAAACCCTACTTCGGCTTCGGGCCCGGAGGCCCAACCACGACCTGCCTGTCATCCTCGTTGGCAACAAGAGCGACCTGGCCCGCTCCCGGGAGGTCTCGCTGGAAGGTGTGTATCCTGAACCTCATTCCTCAAGCCTCTGCTTCCCACTTCTTCAAAGGCTTGCTTCTCCAGGCTTCAGGGCCCGGGCCTTGGG